ATGATAATTATAATGACGACGACGAAAATTATGACAGATATGATAATGGTAAGAGGACGCTGGTGACGATAATACTTTGCTTACCATAAATCGAATTTGATCATTTCATAGATAAATGCAGGGTCTGAACCATTCACCCAAGTAAGAACGAGGTCAACTGGTCCCGAAACCCTAAAATCAGTCAAATTGATCCAGTTATTGAAACCTCAGTTTGAGAATTCAGAAAAACAGCGTGTTTTTTTCACAAACGTGACAAATCTATGTTATTTGTTTAAAGTTTTACATTAATTAACTGTCAAACAAAACAATCACAAAAATTTCATAAAGTTTTCTTTTTTCGGAGAGCTTTATTTATTTCTTAATTTATAAAATTATTAGCGATTATAACGTGTATTTTAAATAATAAAAGTACAGATGCACATATATTTACCCTTGAATATCCGAGTAACCGAATGGTGTGTCCGGATAATAACGTTGGTCCAGGCGTACCTTAAATATTCCCTGAAATAAAATCTTGGACCAAACGTGATAATAAGCCAGGATAAGCACGTAATTTTATTCAATAAATGAAACGAAAATCTATCTTTTTTGTTCAAACTAATGTTATTTACCTTCACATAAAAGGATAACAGTATTTAATTTCAACTTCCGACATGGAACCGTTTCACTAGCTAGCGAGCCTGTTGGATTCAGATAAAAACCCTATGTTATTCGGTTCGAATTACAATAGAAACAAGATTTACATTTGACAGATAGGGCGGATATTATTTTAGATTTAAGTTTTTCACGATCACCTTTAGAAAGTAGTAGTAGTAGCAGCAGCAGCAGCAGCAGCAGCAGCAGTAATGATAATAAGAAAATTCAACATGAGATACTTTTCCAAAAGTATTTTATAAAACAATTAAACATATGCATGTTAATGTAAATTTAATGAACATTCCAATATTACACTTTCTGAACTGACTGATTGATTGATTTATTATGGTGTAAGATTACGACATATGACACTAGTGTTGAGTACAATGTACAAAATAACGTTTAACACTAATAATAGTTGTGCAATTGATTGATCCATATCTGCATTACGGCTGAAGACACACACAAATGATCAACTGATCAACTGATAAACTTATTTCATTCAATAGGGAACAACTTGTGGAATTAAAGATACTAGGACGCTGTAAAAAATTATCTTTGATCAATACTAATAGTGCTTCTTACAAAAAGGTGACGTAAATGATATAGAGAGTAAACACATATTTGGAGCGGTTTGTTTGTAAAATTGATTGACGTTTAAAGAGATATTAATGTCGTATTTAGGTAATATTGATATCAAAAGGAATTTATTTCTATAATCATTAGAATGGAAGAATAGTTATATTGAACAAAACTAGCGTAATGCACTTAATATCGACCATTTAAGCTATCTTTGTGTTGCCCTAAAATAACCGATATTTTCTTGTTGTTTTTTTATGTACAGAAACCGTTTCTAGTAAATGTTTGTGATATACTAAAGCATTTTCTTCGAGTCAATTTGCAGAATAATTAAGTAAACATGGTTCATCCATAGGGATGTCTAATGCTGCCATCGACAATTTCGACACTTATCGGCCCTTTGCTAAAAATTATTAATACAATATCAATGTAGTAATTTTTTATAAATTTTATTTGCTAATATTAAGCATATCAAAACTACAGAAACATATACATGGACATCACTGATATCTATGAAAACAACAACACGTGTGTTCTTGTTCTATAGTATTCCTATTTTGTTGAATCATGTTTTCGTATTTCCTCTATATTGTTAAGCAATTCAGCCCTAGAAACTTCAATATGCCTACCTTCTATACCAATGTCGCAAAAATCTGACCAGGTAAACTCTCAGTCGGTTGTTTATTTTCCAACTGTCATGAAAATCAAAATATAATAATAATAATAATAATAATATATATTATTCTTGAATGTAAAGGTTAGATATTTTTATTTATTCATCCGACTGACACTCATATTAATTATAGTAATTGTAGATAAACTCGTAATGATTTATAAAAAAAGGAGAAAAAAGAATCAGCATTTACAACAATTAAAATATAAATTGGTCAAATTTTATCATGTATCTAAATGTAGACTTAGAAAATAAATTTTACAGACTGTCAGGTGTTTTTGAAGGAAAATCATCTGTCTCATTTCGTACGAAACATGTTGTTTCCGTTGTCTTTGTACATGTTATAGGTGTAAAATATTCATATGTTTCTTAAGCTGGAATTTATAATTCTCCCTTTGAAAATTGTTTAATAAGTTCTTTCTCTTTAGTTTTTTTCTTACTGCTCTTCCTTTAACAAGTTATTTAATCTTTTATACATTCTTTTTTGTCTTTTTCACATATCCTGTTAGTGTTCCTTTATCTTTCATATTTTTTATATGCTTCATTGTAAAATGCATAATACTGTGCTCACTTTACGTTAACCGTTTGTGGTTACCAGTCATGTGAAACACTGATTGTGTAATTTATAAACATGGCTGCAGCAATTAAAATTGTCACTCAATTTGAGTGACATGGAAATTTGAAAAGAAATGTGCCCGTGTGCGTCCAAGCTTATTGCTCTTTTGCCCTTTTTATTTTCGCTACAAACGTCTTTTACATATTAACTACATCTCAAATTAACTACATTTAAACTTTAATTGCTTGTATTTTCGGTTCAATCTGTTTGAAAAAAATTTTTCTTGGTATAGGGCTTTTTTGAAAAAGGAAAGAGTGGATAACAGATACGTATCCATTAAATTTTTATTTCTCTTGTAGGTGCACGGGGAAATACAGTATTAGTGTCATTACTGACAGTTTTTGCCAAATGCTGATAAATACAAAAGGTGAAATTTTGTGTAACACATTTGTATTTCTATCTAACGGCAACGAGTTTCAATTTTTGGTAAAGCGAATACTTTGTGGTGTACATGTTAATAATATCTTGTATATCATGACAAACGGTAAAATGCCCCACATGGTTTAATCTGTTTTATCATCATAGATTGTGAATGTTATAACATAAACACTTCAAGAGAAAATATTTCACAATTAATTAGGGTTAGCAATACTTGCTGTTTTGTTCTTTTTTCATGAAGCTGTCTTTCTTTAGATTAATTGCTTTAAGAATTATTTTGTTGTTGTTTTTTACTTAGATCTATTGCCCAATTCTGATAGTTTGAGTAAATTAAATACAGTAATAGATTTATTCTTCAAAACTCTATTTTCCAAACACGATCACTATTCGAGGTGCAAGGAATGCCCTAGACGGAGTGACTATGGTCGTTGACTTCAAACCACTTGCCCCTCACCACTGTGACTTCGAATCCGACAGGAACTTTGGATTCTTCATGCGCGGAAGCTATCCAGATAGCTTACGGAACTTCGGTGGTTCTACTCAGGTGCCCGTTCGTGCCTGAATTAATGGGCGGAAAGGCACCGGATATCTTCCTCCGCCAGTAAATCTGGAACGTCGCCATATACCCTATACTGTGTCGATGTGACGTAAAACCCAATCAAACAAACAATCCAAATTCGATCTGCTGTGATCATGGACATTATCTAAAATCTTGTAGGGGTAAAGAAAAACAATCTGTGAAGCTAATATATTGTTTATTCATTGTAAGACTACTAACGGTATTTCATTCATTTACTGTAAAAGAATAAGTGGAATAATATAAAAAAAATTGTAACTCTTGGCACATTTGGATTAATTTCTGACAACTTTCTAGCAATATACAAATTGATGTTTATCAAATAATTCCAACAAATAAGTCCTGATTTTAGAGCTTACTTCTGATCATCTAAGAACAAAAGACAAACAAAATGTAACAATATGAAAAAAAATGTCTGGATTGAACTTGAAGAGTTTATCTTTGAAATTTTTTTTATTTATTTTGAAAGATATTTTAATAAGAAACTCCACTGGCGTTTAATGATCTATTTGTATTATGTCTAGACCATTAATTTGTGTGCATTGTTTCATATCCTTCTGTTTTAAGCGCACCAGTTGATCTATGTAAGATATTCATTATTTTATGCTGGTGGACCTCATAGGAATTCCTTTAATAATACAACCACGATGTTAAGAATATTTTTGTACCATAATAATAATTACAAATGTTTAATATCCATCTGCTGTAAAATTGAATGTAATTAAATGAATATTTCTCCGCCATTCTTGACATAATAGGATTTATTTCTTACAATTTTATAAGATATACAGTCACATGTTGAAACTTATCAATTACTTCTTGAAATATACTTGTAGTAATATTTTAAGGGATATACAAACAGACATAGTTTTACAATCAACTACTATCTAGAGAAATACAAATATGCACTATAGCAATCCACTCAGCTATTTGTAGAGATATACGACAAACATACGTAGTAATACACTCAGTTACTTGTAGAGATATACAAACATTTGAAGAAATACACTCAGCTACTTGTAAAAATATTCAAACATTTGAAGTAATACAATCAGCTACTTGTAAAGATATACAAACATTTGAAGTAATACACTCAGCTACTTGTAAAAATATTCAAACATTTGAAGTAATACAATCAGCTACTTGTAAAGATATACAAACATTTGAAGTAATACACTCAGCTACTTATAAAGATATACAAACATATGTAGCAATATACTCAGGTACTTGTTTAGATATACAAACAAACGTAGTAATACACTCAGCTATTTGTAGAGATATACGACAAACATACGTAGTAATACACTCAGCTACTTGTTTAGATATACAAACATATGTAGCAATACACTCAGCTACTTGTAGAGATATACAAACATTTGAAGAAATACACTCAGCTACTTGTAAAGATATACAAACATATGTAGCAATACTCTCAGCTACTTGTAAAGATATACAAACATATGTAGCAATACACTCAGCTACTTGTAGAGATATACAAACATACGTTGTAATACAGTTAGCTACTTATAGAGATATACAAACATACGTAGCAATACACTCAGCTACTTGTTTAGATATACAAACATACGTAGTAATACACTCAGCTACTTGTAGAGATTTACAAACATTTGAAGAAATACACTCAGCTACTTGTAAAGATATACAAACATATGTAGCAATACACTCAGCTACTTGTAAAGATATACAAACATATGTAGCAATACACTCAGCTACTTGTAGAGATATAAAAACATACGTAGTAATACACTCAGCTACTTATAGAGATATACAAACATATGTAGTAATACACTCTGCTACTTTCTAGATATAAACAATTATACATAGCAATACACCCAGCTACTTGTAGAGATATACAGACATACGTAGTAATACACTCAGTTACTTTCTAGATATAAAAACATACGTAGTAATACACTCAGCTTCTTATAGAGATATACAAACATATGTAGTAATACACTCTGCTACTTTCTAGATATAAACAATTATACATAGCAATACACCCAGCTACTTGTAGAGATATACAGACATATGAAGCAATACACTCAGCTACTTGTAAAGATATACAAACATTTGAAGAAATACACTCAGCTACTTGTAAAGATATACAAACATTTGAAGTAATACACTCAGCTACTTGTAAAGATATACAAACATTTGAAGTAATACACTCAGCTACTTGTAAAGATATACAAACATATGTAGCAATACACTCAGCTACTTGTAGAGATATACAAACATTTGAAGTAATACACTCAGCTACTTGTAAAAATATTCAAACATTTGAAGTAATACAATCAGCTACTTGTAAAGATATACAAACATTTGAAGTAATACACTCAGCTACTTATAAAGATATACAAACATATGTAGCAATATACTCAGGTACTTGTTTAGATATACAAACAAACGTAGTAATACACTCAGCTACTTGTAGAGATATACAAACATATGTAGTAATACACTTTGCTACTTTCTAGATATAAACAATTATACATAGCAATACACTCAGCTACTTGTAGAGATATACAAACATATGTAGTAATACACTTTGCTACTTTCTAGATATAAACAATTATACGTAGCAATATACTCAGCTACTTGTAGAGATATACAAACATATGAAGCAATACACTCAGCTACTTGTTTAGATATACAAACATATGTAGTAATACACTTAGCTACTTGTAGAGATATACAAACATTTGAAGAAATACACTCAGCTACTTGTAGAGATATACAAACATATGTAGTAATACACTCAGCTACTTGTAGAGATATACAAACATTTGAAGAAATACACTCAGCTACTTGTAGAGATATACAAACATATGTAGTAATACACTCAGCTACTTGTAGAGATATACAAACATACGTAGCAATATACTCAGCTACTTGTAGAGATATACAAACATACGTAGTAATACAGTCAGTTACTTCTATAAATATAAAATCATACGAAGATATAAAATCAACTATTTTACAGATATATTATACTAAAAGTAGGAATCAACATAAATTAATGTCCATTTCATATAGCAAGATAATGGAACGTGTCGAATGCATCTAAGATTCATCATAGTTTTCACATAATTTTCCATCTTGTTCACTCAAAACATTCACCTCCAACATATATAAAAAAAAGTCTTCGGATCCAATCTTTGAATGCATTCTTATAGTATATTTATTATAACAAATTTTGACCAACAAGTATGGCACTATAGACGTTTTGTGCAAAGACACGTTGTCATGAAGTAATCTGATACTGGCTAAACCTGTTACGGGTCTTTGTTTTCGAAAGTATTATATATTAAGCTTTCGAAGAACTTTTGTCTTGTAAAATTTCAAATTAACCGATTTGCCTTTAGGAATAGCAACCCGAATGGCGGTAAAAGTGTCTCGTCAAAATCCTTTGATACATGCAGTCCACTACATATTTGCATTTCTACAGCACACACAGGCACACGCATACTAACACATTTGTATGTTTAAATCTTTTTTTAAAGTTATATCTATTTGCTAGTTTACAATTTTTTTCTGAATTTTAAACCTTCCTACTTTAAGCTGTTCCATATCTATCAATCCAGTTTGAATAAATAAGAATATTTTAACTCTAGGGCAAAATATGTCAGACATTGTCACAGGAGTTTATATAATCGGTCACTAATTTTTGTCACCTGCACCTGAAACATCCTTGCCTAAATTCGAAAGCTTTTTCTTCGGTTTTCTACACATTTCTTTATGTTGTTGAAAATCGTTTCCTCATAGAGTAGTGTGTTGAATTCCATAAGGCTGGCAAGTCGGTCGAAAGCTCGTTTTGAGTATTGAAATTTTAAGGTTGAATAAGGTTTATCCGGATCGTCAAAAACATTAAAGTTACCGAACTCTCTCTCTTCATTTGTCTTCCTGGTAACGCCTAAACAATCGGATATAAAAAAATAATTATTTTTCAATTTATGTGTATTTGACAATTATTGAACAAACTAGCTTGCCTAGGACCTGAGTATCGATCGAAACCAATGCAAAACTAAAACAATTAAAATTCTAGGGCTAAATTCATTGGGGCTATTAATGGTAAACTGTGAAAGTGAATTGTGTACCTTAAGCAGGGGACTACTCAATTTACAATGTTAGAATTTTTAAAATCTTAACTTTATAACTACCATACAACGCGTATTTATTTGTATAGTTATTTTTTCTGTTAAAATCATCGTAACTATTAATGTCAATTGTCTCTTTTCTAGTTAAACCATCTCATCCTTCAAGGTTTGCATTTTCATAGAATTTGTCATTTATCATTAGGAATTCCGGACACCGCATGTTCAACTTATATAAAGTATCATGGCATAAATTTTAGATAATGTTTATGTTAATAACCAATAGGTAACACGCATACTTTTCAGGTAATATTATTACACAATTCTATGAAATCAACACACTAACATCATTATGAAGCATGCAATAAGTTCTGATTATAATAATATAATAATAAAAACACTTCACCTGGTGATTTAAACTCCCTGAATTCATTGTTTACGAGAATGAAATGCATGACAATCGGACAATTGGGATCATTGCGGTTTTCAAAGACGTAACATTCCTTATATCCTTTTTCACCAATTGCAGGAGTGTTGATGTCAGGGAAAGGTATTTTATGAAGTTTTGCCCACTCAGCGGCTAGTATTAGTTCCTAAAGTATACAATTAAGCATACAAAATAAAAAGGAACCGGTTGTTTTAAATAGCAAACTGTTCATACACAATTTATTAAACTATATATTCTCAAATCATTAACAAGTGATGTTAGCAATTTAATTCCAATGTGTTTATATACAGTGTTTATATACAAGGTCAAAAAATCAGCTTCTTTTCCTGGATCAATTTTTTTGGTGACTTAAAAGTACCTTTTTATTCTTTGATTAAAGACATTCACTTTACCGTTATCACGATTATGTGTCTTTACATACAAAGGTACAATACACTGACTTTTATATAAAAAAATACTAAAGACAATTTTTTTTGTAATAACAAAAAAAAACTGAACTGTAAACGGGTCTGCTTTGTCACTTTCTCTTTCACTGAAATCAAATGACAGGATGAGATCAACCTCACGTTCCGGTCGTAGTATAAGAGGAAATGGAGAGTTGAATGCCAGGCCAGCGTCCACTAGATACATCTTCTCTGCATCTGTCGGGTTCATTTCGTGCAACTCCTCAAATAGTCTTTCAGCTTGAAATGATAAGAAAAGGTGCTGAATTACGTTATCTAAATGTTGGTTGTACTCAAACAGTCTTTAAGTATTTAAGGAATTCATGAAAGCAATAGAAATGTATCATTTGTATTTGTATATTTGTTTTAAAATATTTTGAAAAATAATTCTGAAAAAGCTGTGATTTAGTAATAGGCACATACTATTTTGTTTTGGAACATTTTATAATCTGTTATATAAAGGTATGTTATACTGGATCAGGTATTTCACGCTTGCCAGCAACATACACAATTTGTCCGTGGCTTGTTGCTATGTCGGATACTTAATACTATCAACATATTTATTTTCTTGTATTACAGACCTTCAATTTCAGACTAATTCACTTTACAGATCAGTCATTACTTTTTTTAACAAAATTGTCTTTAAGGCTTAAATTTTCATTATCATAACACAATATTGTGACATATTGACAAAACATAAAAAGTGTACAAATAATAATCTTTTTTAGAAAGTATAAAGCTATATCGGGAAGTGTGTATCAAGAATATTATTTTTTTGCGTCGCGTAAGAAATTATATTCCGTAAGTTCATGAAATGACCAAACTTCGACGTATAGGAGGCGTACGTGTTATATGTGTTTGTGTTAATTATTAATAACAGAAAACAGCAGCTTTTCCGTGTTTTCATATTCGCGTATACCTCTTGCCCCACCACTGACAGGTACACATTTTGTGAAAACTTATCTTCGCTGTGTTCATTTGAATATAAAAAAACTATGATGGATGTACAAGTATTTAAATTTTATATCATATTCTAACAGCTACAGCTTTACACTCTTTGAAAAAATAAACCATTTCAACACAGCTTTTAAGATGGTTTTCACAAAACTAGATCTTTCACATACTTCGTATTTCTCGCAGCAAAGCCATTTAAAATGTATTGGAAAAGAAAGAAAATGATAATAAAACAAAAATGTACAAATTGTAGCCTATAAAAAACATTTAATAATAAAGGAATATGGTTATCTTTCATAACATTTATTTTTTTAATATTATATTTAGAGAATTTCTTAGACAAAACCACACACATGCATACAGTTATTATTCATGGTATATACTTGTCAAACAAATGCTCCATTACTTACTTGATTCAATGCCTGTAATGCCTAACATGCCTTTAATGCTTGCAAAAATGTTTCCATCCGTTCCTATTAAACAATTATTTACAGTGAATTAATTCATTATGTTCCATCTAGTCAAACATTATGCTAGCCATACTAAATGGCAACATATTATCCAATCATATATAATCGCAGAATATTATTTCAGTCAAACTGAATTTTAATATATATATTTGTCATTCCAGTCATGGTTAATGAAAATGTATAATTTCAGTCATACCAAATTGCAATGCATGTATATTATTCTAGTGATACTTTTAAAATCGTAACACATATGTTATTTAAGTCAGTATATTATTCAAGTCTTATCAAAATTGCAATACTCCTTTCTAGTCAAGACAAATCAGATATCTGTTTTGAATCCTGAAACAGAGAACAAATTAAATTGGCAGCTAAATAGGTACATTGTATATACATTTGCTTTTTTCATATTTTAAAAACGCGCTAGGAATTATACTTTCTTAATAACTGATTTGCATTATACAGACAGATGTCCCTTTTTAATAAGCACATACTATTTATTTAATTTACGGCGCATATGAATTCGAAGTGATCATCATTTGTAATATGTTCAAGCATATTAAAGCATAATTATAAGACTCATTATTTTCTTCTCTGAGACTCTTTCTTTTCCAATCTGCCTGGTTATTTATTATTATTTGCTAAAACACAATAAGCCCTAAGAATAAGCAATATACATGTATAAATGCGTATGTACAAAAATTTTATCATTTTGACCCTGACTGTGATCTTCTATCTAGTAAACGATAAACAAAGGACAAGAGACAATGGAAAGAGATAGTAATTGTTCGGATGTGAGCCGAATATATCGGTTATCTGAAACCATTTTAATTGCCCACCAATTATTGGTTCTCGAGCCAACACAATGACCAAAAAGTAAACTGTTCATATATATGCATATCTAGTTTTTTCTACAATTTTAACTGATAAAGATGAATATTAGGCATAAATTCCTCACATCCTGTCATTAACGAATTCTAATGCTCAAATAATGCGATATCTAAATGTCGTTTTCTTCCTTATAAAATTAGATGAAAACGTATTGCAAAATTACTACTTCAGTATTATGTAAATGGTGCATATTTCTCCTCGAAACTTATTAATCTAAGGTATATCTATTATAATAGTACCCCTTATTGTACTTAAAAATCAGCGAAGAAATATAAGATGCTGATAATTGCATGTGGTACAATCCAATTCATGTTTGCGTGGTCTTAACATTAATACCAAGGTAAGATGCATCCCAAGTAAATTAGGCTACAATCTTTTAAATATTAATCAAAGCATGCCAACCTTAGTTCTCGTCCTAATTGTTTCGATAGGTCAAAATAGGTAACAAAATTTATCTATTAATTCTATATGACTATTAAAATGATACAGTGTATCAGTACACGAATAACGCGAATTAAATACTATTATATTTAGGATATGTGCATGTACCATGGATGTCTTACTTTTTTTTGTAGATGGTCGGTATTCCTGTAGTCGAAGACCCCGCATGAAGTTATTCACCTTAGCCGCCCTTCTGTGAATATCATTAGTGAAGTTGTCGACAGTAGACCGTTTCATAATCCCTTCAATTATTGATTTGAGAATCCCCCCTCTCCCGGTAGTTGCCGTTTCTTGCTCATCATCCCCTCTCACGGTAGTTGCCGTTTCTGGCTCATCATCCCCTCTCACGGTAGTTGCCGTTTCTGGCTCATCATCCCCTCTCACGGTAGTTGCCGTTTCTGGCACATCACTAAGCAAATCGTAACGATCATCCCTTTTTTTACTGCCATATGATTCGAAGTCTTTTTGTACTTCTGATGCTGTTGAAATGGGAAAGAAACTGATATTCTATTTTCTAAAAATGGATACAAATTAAAATATATTAAGATTTTGGTTAAAAAATGTAGATATTTATATGTATAATCAAAAGAAGAAAAAATGAAATCTAAAAATGTTTTAAAATACCATATAATTTTCTTTCTTCAGTAACGTTGGCTGGGCCTATCTTGTTAGTTTTAATAAACCTGTGTAACAAAGCGCAGTACGCACTTCCCCAGATACCTAAAACAGGTAAAAAGTAAACGTACAGTGCACGAACGAAGAAAAGAGAGATTAACGAGTAAATAACACAAAGTGCAATAACTTGGCAAAACAATCAACAATTGGCATTCAATGTCGAGCAATACAATCAACATTCAGCTCAACATTCGACCTTCGTTTCTTAACAATACAATTTTAAAAACAAATATTGAGCTAGACAAGAAATTCTTAAATGTCCAATGTTAAGCTAGACAACCATTAATAAGCTCAACATTCAATATTCGTTGGTTTTCAATTTAATTTTAAAACTAAAGTTGAGCTCGACAGTCAACAATCAGCTAGACATTCAAAATAATCAATGTAAAGCTAGAAAAAGGAACTTCAGCTCAATATCAGATATACATGTGTATATTATATAAAGGTAAAAAACCTTAGTTGGGTCTTTTTAAAATCCAGAAAATTGTAATATAGTCAACATTTTCTGGACATTTGTTTGATTAATAAAGTATGTAAATTACACCAATAAACTTATTACTTTTCCTTTCAGCTTTTGGTTACGTAAAACGAAAAAAAAATGAAATTATTTTATGCAATGAACACATGGAGAAGCATCGTTTAATAAACGGGTCAAAGACAGAAAAGGCCGTGTTGCATTTGTATAGCAAAAATCATGATGCTGTGATGTTAAGAAAAAAATAACCACTGACCATTAATATTGAAAATTAAACTTAGTCAGTAAACAGAAAGTGGATAAGCAACAGACTTGAAATTAAATCCCAAGGTATGGAACTATGTGTTTTTGCCGTATGTCAAATATCAAGAGGCTGTGATAAGTAGTTGCTCAAAAATATTCCGCGAATTTCCTACCATTGACCATTAATGTCGAAAATTTAACTTAGTCAGTAAACAGGAAGTGGATGAGCAACAGACTTGAAATCGAATCCCACATTATGGGACTATGTGTCAAAGCTGTATGCAAAATATGAAAAGGCTGTGATAAGTAGTTGCTCAGAAAACTATTATGCAAATTTCCTACCATTGACCATGAATGTCGAAAATTTAACTAAGTAAAAGGAAGTGGATAAGCAATAGACCTGACATCGGAATCCACATTATGGGACAATGTGTCAATGCTGTTTGCCAAATATCAAAAGGCTGTGATAAGAAGTTGCTGAGAAAACTGTTACGAAAATTTCCTACCATTGACCATTAGTGTCAAAAATTTAACTAAGTCGATAAACAGGAAGTGGATGAGTGATAGACCTGAAATTGAATCCCAAGGTATGGACAAATGTGTCAATGCTGTATGCCAAATATCAAGAGGCTGTAATAAGTAGTTGCTGAGAAAACTGTAACGAAAATTTCCTACCATTGACAATTAATGTCGAAAATTTAACTAAGTAGATAAACACGAAGTGGATGAGCGACAGACCTGAGATCGATTCCCACGGTATGGGACAATATGTCAATGCTGTTTGCCAAATATGAAGAGGTTGTGATAAGAAGTTGCTGAGAAAATGTTACGAAAATTTCCTACCATTGACTATTAAGTCGAAAATTTAACTACATGTAAGTCGATAAACAGGAAGTGGATGAGCGACAGACCTAAATTAAATCCCACAGTACAGGACCACCTGTAAATGCTGTATGTCAAATATCAAGAGGCTGTGATAAGTAGTTGCTGAGAAAACTGTTACGAAAAGTTTTTCTCCGACAGCCCGCCGTCCACCGCCCGACATTCTCCATACTACAACCCGGGTTTGCACCAGTGCAACCCGGCCCAAAAATGTTTTACAATAAATATTTCCATTACTTTACCTAGAAGATAATGCAATTTCATTTCGTCATTTTCTTTTAGAACGCGGCCTGAAAAGAATTCACTTCCGAACAACTTTGGTTGCAAAAAGGTCCCATACTTCGGCATGCCTATCGCAAAGGGGCTAAATTCGATCCATTCTGGAAATTAAATTCAATATATTAATAAACATTTTACCTGAGGTAAGGTGTGACAAAATTCCAGATTTCTTTAATGAACTATAGTAAATAAGTAAAGGTACATTTTACATTTTTTATAAAAAGGAGATATATCTTAACTAAGTTAAATTATCGAGTCAAAATTGCTGACTTTAATAAAAGCCAAACGATCTTATTCCACACAAATGTCTTTAACTTATCGGGATAAATCATACTTTGGTTAAAAAGACTTGATTGTTCTGCAATACAATTAACGTTTAGAAAAAAAAGATAGTTGATTGACAGAAATATAGATAAAGAATTAGGAAAAGTCCACAATTGTTTAAAATGACAAAGGGTTTATAGTGAACAGGTGTGAGTCGAAATAACTTTAAAGTTTGCAATTATTCCTTAAAATATATGATTAACATCACATGAACGATGAATACCTTATATCTAAGGAAAGTTATGTAAATGTTTATCGGACTTTACCTAAAGTGTTCAATTCATGAAAAGAATGGGATAGACATATTCATATTCAAAACGGATTTATCTTTATCCTGAATGTTTTTCCAGTATGAATTGTGAGTCAATCACAATCATAACAGGAATTAATTTCTTTGCAAATATATATAACAATTCAAAAAGATTGTCATTTTTAAAGCAAGCAAAATTTATATATATACCATGAAACACTTTTGCTGAAGTCTTTCTTTTCACATTCAAAGCTGCATATAAAGGCAATGGAGCTGATCCTCCGCTCAATTTTTCTTGTTGGTTTGTCAATGTTGAATTCATTCTCTAGTTGTTTTTTTTATTTAATGACAAGATAACAAGAATAATAAATTTATAATAATAAATTGCTGGAAATATACAATAAATTAAAGACATCATTAAAATTAAACATTCATATAATGCGGGTAGGGAGATAAAATGAATAGATGCCACGGTAAAGATTGCGCAAAATTTCGCAACTGTTAGATTCCGTCTCTGACATTTTATTTTAAATAAAGTATATTTAAACACAAACATTTACACGTGTTCTGTCGTTAACAAACTTATTGTAGTTAATTGCTAGTGTATTCACTAATCTAATAATTAGAAATGACCAGGTCAGGGATCTATGCATTAATATCGTCTCTCTGCGTTGCTACGTAACGTCGTATAAAACAAACTACGCATGTCTTTCAAAACTTGAAAAAGGTTTACTCTGTTTTGATCAATATTTTGCCTTTACAATTAGCCCTATGGCTTCTAGAACTAAAGCATTTTACCTCTTTTAGAAGTGTTTCACCTATGATACGTCCGTAAACATCAGTGAGGCAGAATGTGCCACTTGCAAATGCAGCTGTAATTTTTGTAACCACCCGAATCCAAAACAAAGGATCCGTAATGCATTCACATAACTCTGAACGAAGGTCTATAGCAGATTTCTTTTGTGGCCAATCAGGATGGGAATACAAAGTTGAAAGGTACCTATATATTTAAATAACTATGCTGCTTTTAACACAATTTTTATCTCCATGTATATTTGCATAGCCCTATATTCACATCTACTTTTATCAGTATCAATGCAAAGTATTTAATGGTAATTTCGTTTTGAAAGAAATAAAAGAGTTATTCTTCACAAATGTCCGTTTGTGACTAAAATAATGCAAGTAAGGGTAGCTTGGGCCTTCCCTCATCAGTACAGCTGGATATTCGCTAGAAGACCTACATGGTGTTGGTGCGACGTAAAACATAACCAATAAGGTTTTATAATACATGCAATGCAGTTGTACTTCATCGGCTCCTGAGTGTACTACAAGATGATTAAGACAAGAAACATGGCAATGCCATGAAACCAGGTTTTCAATTATCACCATTGTAGATAAATATGTTGTATTTGAAATACAAATACAAGCAACAAACAATGTAACTATGTGCAATGTAAAACATGAATAATGTAGGAGGAATTGCGCACAGAAGAAGTGTTCACTATATATATTCTGTATAAGGAAAAAAAACAAAGGGCCATAATTAGGTAAAAAATTATCCAATCACAAAACCCCGACAATATGTGCTAGGGCACTTGGTGACAAAGCTTCTGTGAAAGTTTGAACAAAATCCGTTGAGAAATGTAGGAAGAGTTCAGCACAGAAGAATTTGTTCAATTCGGTATAAGGAAAAAAAACAAAGGGCCATAATAAGGTCAAATATTATCCAATCACAAAACCCTGACAATATGCGCCAGGGCACTTGATGACAAAGCTTCTGTGAAAGTTTGGTCAAAATCCGTTGAGAAATGTAGGAGAAGTTGCGCACTGTAGAAATTGTTCACTATATATATTCTATATAATGAAAGAAAAACAAAGGGCCATAATTAGGTCAAATATATACCAATTGCAAAACCCTGACAATATGTGTCAGGGCACTTGATGACAAAGCTTCTGAGAAAGTTTGGTCAAAATCCGTTGAGAAATGTAGGAGGAGTTGCGCACAGAAGAAATTGTTCACTATATATTCTATATAAGGAAAAAAAAACAAAGGGCCATAATTAGGTCAAATATTATCTAATCGCAAAACCCCGACAATATGCGCCAGGGCACTTGATGACAAAGCTTCTGTGAAAAATCCGTTGAGAAATGTAGGAGGAGTTGCGCACAGAAGAAATTGTTTACGCCCGCCCGCCCGTCCGCCCGCCCGCCGACATACCTAAATCTAATAACCAGTTTTTTCCTTCGGAAAACCTGGTTAAAAATACAGCCTTTGCTATTGTTCTAGTATAATACAGAGACAGAATAAAGTTTTGGAGAAACAAGAAAGGAAAAAATATCTTACCAAGCTGACCCAGAGAGACCTACGTTATACATAACCATTTCTGCTATTTTAGAGCGGACCAGGGCGGACATGACGCCAGAAAATGCTATCACAGCACGAAATCCACCACCAGATCCTATAACTGCTATTCTTGGAACCTGTTGGTGTAAACAAATTTAAACTTGAACACTTAGATCACTTAGACTAACAAGAACATAAAACATCATTACATGTACATCACGTCAAATCTATCAATTAATTATTGTACAGTCAAATTATAAAAATAAATTATATTCAATGAGGTAAGTTACCTTAGTATTTCTACATATTTATGTTTACAAACTTTTATTAAATATTAAAAGACTATTAAGCATTAAAAACATAACCTTCGCTAACAATGGTCAGCAGTCTCTTTACAATTAAACTAATATGCATTAAAGTTTAAGTACCAAATCCTTTCCAGCTGGGGCATTGTCTTTAAGTTCATCTATAAATTTCATCTCGCGTAAACAATGGGTTTGTCTTTCCTTTATATAATCCTTTTCTTCGTCACAAAGACTATGTCCGAGCAACAATTTTGTTCCTAAATGACTTCATAAAACAACAAAAAATGTTAATTAACTATCAAAGAACTGACAAGTACAAACTTGGATTTAGCGAACTTGTCGGGGCATTTGACATTCAGCATGATGTATCCAAGTTTCTTATATAAAGAATACATTAATTATGAGGAATAAGTGTCTTATAAGTGTCTCAAATCTAAGCTAACATAACCGTACAACGAATAGTTGAAACATACGACGTTTTGAATGATACCATTGTTATGTATTATGCAGTATTGTTTTTGAAGCAGATACGTTCCTAATAACCAAATGAACGCTATATTCTAGTTCGTTTTTTTAAAGTGAAGACCATTGCAACTAGCTTTTTATGATCATGTAAGCTGGCACAAGTTCATTTCAAAGTAAATAAACAATATTCCAAGAATGTTGATTTTCAGCGTGAAAATTTGACTAGAGCATTTTTGTTTATGACCGGCCTCTGCACTGTAAAGAATTTGTCACCTCCGTGCAAACTGATCGGGTTCTAATTTGATAAATTTTAAGCTTTTTGGTTCTAAAATCCTTTATACATGGAATATACAGTTCCAAATTCAAAACAATTATACCAATTATAATTTGCAAGTGTAAAAGTTATTACAATTTAATTGTAAAACAAATTGAAAAAAAAATCAAACCAATTAAAAAAGTCCCATATGACTATATAAGGCTTTAACAATTTTGAAGTAAGAGAATTGAAAGGCAGGGTAATATAAGTTAAAAAAAAATTATGTTTAGGGAATCATAAATAATCCTTAACAAGAGCTATCACTTTATGTGAGTTATACCCCCGCAAGTTCGAAAAAGAGGAAGATTTTAGTAACAGAATACAATATATAGAATATAATTACTCTGTTTATAGTTATAGTTCTTGTGCACTGCACTTCCTGACCATTGCATGAAGTTGTCAGTACTTTTCAAGTTATGATCCTAACAAGGAAAAGTATCAAATGGCAATAACTCTGTAATTAGTCAAAATGGAGTTATGGTTCCTCTTAATGTACTTGACCCTTTGTATATAGTTGAATTAAATTCCAACCAGTGATTTTCGAGTTATGCTCCGGGCAAGAAAAAGGCAATGGAAAAGTAACAAAAGACCAATGACCCTAAAACAACTTTAGAAAGAGTTATAATTCTTAAGCAGTGCACTTCCTCTTATTGTGCTTGACAATTGTATGAAAATGTTTTGAATTCAATCCAGTAATTTTCAAGTTATGCTGCAAAAAAAGTAACAAAGGGCAATTACTCTTAATAAGTCAAGATGGAATTATGGTTAGTGTGCACTGCATTTCCTCTTAATGTGCTTGACCAGTGTATGAAGTTGTATTGAATTCCAACCATTAGTCTTCAAATTATGCTCTGGACAAGGGAAATGCAACCGACCACTGGACCGACCGACTGATCCCCGTACTGCATTCCGGGGGTATAAAAGTGCAGATACTTATTCATTAAAAATTGTACGAAACTTATTTTTTGTTTGTTTGTTTGATTAGAATTCATGTCACACCCACAAAGTATAGGTCATATGGAGACGTTCCAACTTTATAGGCGGATGAAGACCTTAGGTTCCGTTAGCCAGCTAGATAACGTCCTGATATGAAATAATCCAAAGTCTCTGTCGGCGAATGATTTGATTGATTGTCTTTAGACCAACTGGGCGGTCAAGGATAACCTACGAAAGTGCAAGCACTTATTTCCAGTAGGGTCCGTACCTTACAAGACTCTTGAGGCAGCTATGAGATACAAGGGAATCCGGAAACCAGTCCCTAGCTCTTATTGAAAAGATCCCTTGGTTCTTTTACACGCACAGTGTATAGCACTGATACATGTCAGAATACCCGGGTTTCTTACCAGTAAACATCTAGGTAGGTGGGAAACACTGTGTCTCTGAAAAATTCCAAGGGTGTTACCCATGATCGAACCCGGAACCTCAGGAGTGACAGTCAGTAACCAACTGAGCTATCGCGCTACCCAAAACTACCTTGTTAGTCACTTATTTTATATAATTTTTCAAAAATAAGTCAAAACGTTTTCACATAATTTTTGGGCATATAAAAATCCTTTTTATAATTAATTTAGCCGAATTCACATCATTTATAGTTAACTATGAAGGAAATGAAAAGTAATTTAAGGGTATTCAACAAATAACTATGTTCTTCGAGATTTGTTTTGGAAAGAATAGGCAAAAAAGTGTTCTCTTTATGAATGAATGTGCTGATGTAAAATATAAATAAAAATCAAATAATTTTGAAGAACTTGAGGTGCTTTGTTGTCTTTCCTAAAGTTTATCTTAAGATAATTTATCTTAAGCTATTTTCAACAAACGTTGCACTGATTCAAGAGTCAATAAAGAATAATGGCATAAATTGTAAAGATAGCTAGTGTAATTAATTTGATGTAAGTTGATCACTCATGTCTGTTTAACGGTTCAACAGGTGATACTTAAACAGAGGATAGCAGAAATGTCTGAGTAACCTGACTGAAGTTTACACAATAATGCACATTGTAAGTGGAGAGGTCATCAGACCTTTCTGCTGTGTCGAGAATGATTGCTGGCGGCATCAATTTTTTGAACTGATTTCTTATGAAGCCTAAACCATAAGAAGCATTTTACAAAAAGAAATGTTATGCACATAAGGCATTTCAAAATACGACTTTTTTTTGAAAGAAAACGTAACAACAAGTTGAACAAATCAGTAAATGGAAAAATCGGAAAAAAAAACATTTATTTTACATAAAAACTACAAACAGTGCTATCTTTCCGTTTTAAATCCTTCAAAATGTAAAAAGTGGTTATTGTTTTCTGAATAGGATATTACTTTTAAATTTATGTTTTGAAAAAAACAACAGTAAATACTACAGCTACAATAACAAGAAGCACAACTTTTGTAAGACCATGTGAATCGTGTACCGAAATTTTGATGTTCCTTTAACTTCGGAACACATAGCTGGTTATTCCTAATTAGAGCACATCCAGAAACTAACGGAAATAGCCGATATGTTGCTACTGGATTGCAGATGGACTTCAAACAACCAGAAATATTTACTTTCCCGCCATATGATCAATTTAACAAAGTTTCAACAACTGCAAAAGACCTCTCGTATGCTTCATATTAAAGAAGCAAACTTGCAATTATTTCCATTTATGTACATGTATTATTAAAGTAATTATCTTGATATGCCCAGTCCTCTTTTTTATGTTTTAGGTCGTCCTGCTGGGCACCTTGCCGCTGGGCCTTTATTGCAGGATCGTGTGGGTGTTGCGTTCATTGAACGCCGCCTTTCTTTGTTGATCTTTTGATAATATAATGTCAATTTAGAATCTGTATTAGTTCATAAGCTGAAATATTTACAATAATTGCAATCTTGTCTGTCACCAAGCTGACTACAGTTCAGATCTAGCATTTTTAAGGATGATCAGTCATCCAATTTTTTGGATAAAAAATGAACGACAAGACATTGATTCTGTGCAAATTTAGTGTGACATGATATTTTATAATTATACTAACAGACTATGTAAATGTGTTTTTTTTCTTCAAAGATTTGATCACATTGAAACAGTAAATGAGTAAATAATTATTACAACTTACTCGATTTTTGCCGACATTACAACTTTGATTATGACATCCTGCAATAAAATAAATGTGACTTTATTATGACATGTAAATAAATATGTTTCCTGTTTCATATAGAATAAAAAATCGATTTTCTTTTTAATGATGATTAAATGTTTTTTTTTAATAGTTTCCACAATATTTTGAGTCAATTTGAATAAGAACTAAATAAATTCGATAAAGATTGATTGCCGCTAGAATTCAATATCATAGCTCCCAGGAATTCTTTAACAGAAATATTATTATTTATCTTTCACTTTTGAATGTATAAACACATTTAAGACGTCAATTAGTAAAAAGACATTGATTTTAACCGAGTCGCTGTAGCATAGTTTCGTTAGATGCCATTTTTTATTTCAAAAATTTTTAGTTATGTGAGACAAAAAGGGAAAAGTTTTTCAAAAATTTTAAACGTTTAAAAAAAAAATTCCCGGGGGGATCCTTATTTTAAAAAAAAGAAAAAGAATGGCAGTTTTTTCGGGTTTTTTAAAAAAAAAAAAACCTTTTGGAAAAACAAAAACCCCAAAAAAAAACAATGAACTACACTGAGCGTAGATAAAACTGTCATGACAATATATTATGAGGAACGATATTTAGTCTCGAACTTGGAACCATTGATTCCAGACCAACTAGAGTCCTGCTAACAGATATCCAGAGGGTTAAAAAATTGTTAACATTGTAAAGATTTTAGACCAACCGTCCTGGAATACAATCCAACAGAAGTTGTGTTCATGTTCATAATACGCATCATTCTAAAATTTCTGAATAAGTGTTACCTCATCTACTTCTATATTTCTTTCTATTTTTTCTTTATCCAATTGCCTTAAACTTGGTAGTGGGATCTTCACAGTTGAGATAATTTTGACTTGCACTACGTAGTCTATCATCAGAGATATTTCTGTAAGTAATCATCTGCAGTTTTTAAATAGTTCGTTTCTCATCTCCATTCTAATGAGTTAAAGAAGAAAATATCCGAAACAATAACTTAAGACAGTATACTCAACTTTTGTAGCTTTTCAGATATAAAGATTTAAAACAATACCAGGTTTCAAAATGAATGATACACTTTTGTTATGATTATAAAGTTTTTCCCTAGAAATATCCTGGACTTACCCATTTCGTTTCTTTGATCATCTTTTAAGAAGAACTCAAACTTGTCCCTTTTGAATGCACTGGCTTCACGTTCAGCATATGGTGCTTTCTTAAAGTCTATTTTAATACATGTCTTTCCCAACAAATCTTAAATACAAGTATATTAAAATTTAATCATAATTCAACATAGAATAATAGTGGGATCGCTTGATGCTCATTAAATAAATGCTGATAGAAATGTTATTTACAAACTCAGGAAATCGTATGACATTACTTAACCAATAACTTTATGAGCATTTTGTGAAAAAATGGCTTTTTCCGTTGCAAAGCCTCCTGTTACAAGTTCAAATTGTTATTAAACTATAAAATGCTTTAATACTGATCAAACTTGGCACAATTGTTTACTGGATCATAACCTTTGTAACGCATGCACAATCATCATTTTCGTGTTAACATGGTACCGAGGGGAAATCTCAAAATTGCCAAAAATCACTATTTTGCGTTGCATTTATTTTCATTTAAAATGATTTCTAAGTGTTGCAAAGTCTGTTCAGTGTTGGTTACACCTTACCTTAAGATTGGCCAGAGGCCATTTTTAGCCTGTCATAGTCCAAAACTTTCTTGGTGTTGAGGATGGCGGAGCCCCCTCCCCTCACCCCAAAATAATAAGAGGGCATCCCCTATATGTAACGTTTTTATAGCAAGGTGGACGGTGCCAAAAAAAGTGAACAACATTTCTCAAACAAAAACAAATGCTTGGAGCCTAAATAGAACATTTTTCACTATCTGAGGCATCAAAGGGGGTCGCATATTTAATCGCGTATATTTGGGGTAAAGGGTTAAAGCACTTGTTCATATCTACTAAAGGACGTTAGCAAAACAATTGCCACGAAAGGTGATTCACGAATTTCAAAAACCCTTTAGTTTTTGTTCTCGAGAACACATGCAGCACAAGTTTCATGATTTTAACGGTATTTTATCCTTTCTATAGCAAAATACACATATATGTTACACATAGTTGTGATTTCAACAGGGTTTAACGTAAAATATTGACTCAAGTTAAGAGGGTGCTTTAGAATACCTGTTGAAGAAATGAAACTTGTTAGTAGCATAAAGAATGAGCAAAAGGGGCAGGGGCATGATGTATCTTTGTTAACAATAAATAGAGTAAAACATTCCATCGGCAAATCTCGAAATCCTTTTACTAAAAATACGAAACCAGGTGAGTTTCGAAGGCGACCCACTAAGTCAACTGATGGCGTCGGTCGTAAAGACGCCATTTATATTTCAAAAGGTGAATCCTCCAACCCAGAAAGAGATTGAACAACGTGTTTCTCAGGCTACAATTATCCAAATTAACAAACGTGTACAGCAGAGAAATTTAAAGTTCATAAGCTCAATGCAAATCAAATTAAGAAACGTTCATAGCGTCTGTTGTTACGTTTAGAAGAAACAACCTGTGGAAAGATTTTGTCATCACCAACGAGAAAATTTCTTTATCTCGATGGCAGTTATGGTCGTCGTCGGGTTTGTTATTACCGTAAAGGAGTACATGATGTTTCAAAACTTAAGTTTGTAAAACGTGATTCGTTTGCTCCAGGATTCATGGCCTGGGCAGGCGTAAGCTTCCATGGTAAAACGGATATCCATATTATTGATAAAGATGTAAAGTCAATTCAGACGTCTATATTTATAAAGTTCAGAAGCCTTTTGTCAATAAAAACCTTGCCAGGATGGATGTTTCCTGGATACCAAATTAAAGACATGGTCTTCAACCAGGAAATTGCATCCAGTCATACCTAAAAACACACACTGGTATACTTGCGTCAAAAAATCAACTTTGTAACCTCCCAAAAGTCCTGATGCGGCACAAACGGATTTTACTATTTGGGGTATCTTAAAACGACGTTTACAAAAACATTTAAGTTACACTTTGGCCGGTCTTAAACGAGCATTAAAGGATGAGTGAAAAATATTAAAACCAATAGTTATCAAAAAACCTTACAGGCATGGCCAAAGCAATGTAGACTCATTTACAACATGCATGGATCACAAATTGAGCATTTGTAACAATTAAATGCATATCAGTTTAAAATTATACGCTGTTACAAAGTGTTTCAAAATTCATGAATCACCGCTGGTAGATATAACTACTTGAAAAATGAATAGTCCAGTTTTGATCAGTATAAATGCAATTTGTCTTCTATAGAACCGAAGTGGGTTTTTTGTTGTACAACTTTGTTCTATCAAGTGCTCACATTTTTTATTAAGACTTTAAAAGAAACTGAACAGAACAAAATAGATGTTTCGTTATGACATAAACAAAGACAACATCTATAAGTATTTTGTTCACATGTATAATATCAGGTGAAATGTGAGAAACAAACAAAACATATTTCATACACTTTTTCAGAAGAGTGCTTCATATAAGCTTTACTCAAAAACAGACGCTTCCAATCTTACAATTAAGACGCTAATTAATGATATAAATCGATGTCAACATGAGGGGGTACACAAGAAGATACTAAAGGCACACAGGCAAATTTGATGGTCATCCATTATTGGTCTTTGGAAAGAACATGCTAAAGAACATCTCATTTGATTCCTGAATATATTTTGGCAATCTTGACAGAAATCGACCTTAGGCTGATAAACACCAAATACAGTGATAAAGTATTTATTGCTTCTTAAATTTTTTAATTAATTTGAGCAAAAATGTAACAGGATTACAAAGGAAATATCATGTAAATGATGCAGTGCTCTGTGGTACACACCAAGTGTTGAAAAAAAGAAATAAAGTATCGTTTGTTGTTCGTTTCTCCGCTGTTGGTTGTTTTATCAAATGAAATATATTCAATACATAAATCATTGATAAGATAAGGTCAATACACGGAAGTAGATTTCTTAAAAGTTTTACTTCATTGTTGTTATATTTTTCTGGTCGTCCGGGATCATTGAGTCTAGCATTTTAAGTGTTGAGAATTGAGTTTCGCTCGTTGGTTTCTAGGGGGCGCGAATGATGTTGCACTTTTTCATTAACCCTCATGTACAGACTCAGTCAAACCGAGTCTGTTATTTTCATATTATTTTATTGTTTTATAATTAACGATATAATTATGCGATATTCCTTTTAATTTGTTGTAAATGTTATAATAGATCATAATAGATTTTTTGACAATCATTTCATAAATAAAAATGGTTTGAACAATTGAAATGTTTTTTTTTTGACAACTCCATCTTGTTTTAAAATAATCAATTGATAAAAAGTCAAAACGCATTAAGGAGTTACCTTATGTTTTGAGTATCAACTTCGAAATCAATGTCATTTGTGTAAATCTTGTAAAATCCGTACACAGTTTAAAGTATTAATAGAATCAAACAAATTGCCAAAAATTTATGTCTTTTAATCGTTTTATCTATTTCTATAAAAAACAACTTTGATCCTTACGTGTTTTGAACCATTTCTTTGAACAGTACAAGTTGACAATTTCAAGGTTGAAAATATAGCAATCCTCTTCCAAAGCCTACAAATAGACAATATATAACAACAGTCCTCATGGCAACAACTTACAAATACAAATCTTTGTTGCAATACAATGGACTGGGCAAATGCACTTTTATAAACAAATAAAAACAACAATATATCATTGCTATTACTCTAGAACCTGTGAAATGTTTAAATGACCATTCCTTATGTAATATGTACTATATCATTTAATTTAAATAGAAATGAGAAATGATTGAAACATTATTTTCTGCTGCAGCAGTTAATGTTGGGATTTCCCCAAGTTGACTTGAAATCATAGAAGTCTACGCAGCGATGCTATATATTGTATAGCATTGCCATCATGACACAAACATCCCATAGACATTAAAATGTTTCCACCATTTTGGTAAGAAAGGACAAAAACTAGTTTTTATAGGTTTTGTTTAACTGGATAAAGGCTTTGACCAATAACTCGTGTCATTCGTTCACTTCGTAGAGTTAATAATATCAAATATTGTTTTCATTTCTTTCGGCTATAGGACCTCAGTGGAATTCTTTTAACAAAAGAAAACTTGGTATAGATTGATTTATGTATTTTCTTAGCTAGCTTAAGTAAAATAATTGCATCCACTTTTTCACTCGGTGGTTAAGGATTAGCTTTCATTTTGAGATACTTTTGGATGACGGACGGTAAAGAAATAACGTAAGCATTAGATGATGCTATTGTGACGAAAACATACTTTATAGTACATTTGACTGCCTCCCCTCTCTATAAAATAGAGAAATATAATTATCCATTCAAAAATTGACATGATGTAAAGAGTAGGTATTTCAGGTATTTTTACTATCAAATCTGTATAACTTTAGGGTATCCATCAAAATGTTTATATTTGAAATTGTTTATCTATTACTCACGATGTTTTGTAAGACAAGTCACTTCTCCTATAACAGCCGCTCATAAGGTTTAGTTAAAATAAGTTCCAAGAAACATTTTATTATTTAAGCCAATCAAGATTATTGTTTTTATTCACTGTGGGGTTGATGCTTCACCAGCATATAAACAGAGCGTGTGCAACGTGAAGAAGTCTGGTCCTGTCCGTGGGAGAGTGAAAACAAAGTCGTAAATACTTAATGGTACACAGAAATCTCAGATATCTGGTACTAAGGACGTTTTATGATTTCTGTAAAAATCCTTTTGGCATGAATAATTTTATTTTTATAGATATTTTAGTTTAGATTTGGTTTTTGCTCCGTACGGTAAAGATCGAAGTGGTAATTATATTTACTAGTACCCATCAATCTTAGATATCTGGTTCTAAAAATTTCTTTGCCGCTTCAGGAAGTATTTTAAGAGTTAAATTTAGAAAGTCTGCATGTTGTCCTTGTAAAGTTGGACAGAAATGATATTGCATTTACTAGTACACAGTCCTGAATCTTACATATCTGTGGCTAAAATACTTTACTGCTTCAGAAATAAGAAATAGGTTAAAAAATATAAATTTTAGTTTGATTGACAGTAAGTGTGGAATGAGTTTAATTGCTTCTTGGAATATACATTTTGTATAATATAAGAATAAGTTCGAGATTGTTATTTTGCATTTTATTATTTCTGGTATTATTTTTATAAGTTGATACATAATCAAAAGCTTAAAAAAGACAAGAACATTTTTATTTGAATATTTCAAATCAGTCGGGATAAGTATCCCAAGAAAAATTATATATTTGCATTTCAGAATATTCTGATTTAATTTTGTAGCACTGGAATGATAATCAACCGCTCGGTACACGCTACACTGTGACATCTCGGAAAATCAAACTGTTTTACTTGATTTTACATGTAATTTATCAAGTGTCCATTATAGAGGGTATTTGTTTGTTTGTTGTTTAAGACGTAATTTTTTTTATCTCGTGAACATTAAAGACAGTCTTCTCACTCGTGGCTACGCAAGTCGTGAGAATACTGTTTTTAAAGCTCACTTGTGTAAAAAAAATAACAGAAGCAAAATGGAGAGGTATTCATTTCTTTGGGAATAAGCTTAAATACAATGTAGAGCACCACATTATATTCTGTAATATGGTATACATGTATACTTAACAAGGTGCTCGAATAATTAAATGCTGAAATCTAATCTTTTCACTCGTGGAAATACATTTTTAGGCGTCTTATTCATCTATATACATTTATTTATATACAAAAAAAATGAACAAAAAAATGTAAGAACCATTTTCTTTTTATTTATGCTTCATAAAACAAGTTAAAATGAAACTTCCTTAATATTAACTTAAATACATGTAATAAAATCTGTTTTCCCCACTGGTAGCCTTATTTAGTCGAATGTCTCATAAAATACAAGTAGTCTTGGACTGACAATCGACGTTAAATGGCGATGATATTATTCATTTTATGAATGATCGCTTGTTTTAAAATATTAATTAAAAATAAAATTTAAACAAACAATTCTAGTAGGAGAAAAAGTCAAACCATCCATCCTTATTTATGTTACTTACGACGAACTTATATAAGATCTGGCTCTGTTAAATGTAAGCGGCCGCCATTTTTAAAAGTCGTGAATTTCACAGGAGGAAAATAATTGTGTTTGAATCAGGGGATGTCATTTAGATTTGTTAGCCATACAACCATATTTTGGTGATTGGTAATTCGAATGAATTGAAGTATTTTTTTTTCTTTTTAATTACTTTTGAAATTTCAGTTATTTATCAATTTCAGCTTTGCTTTTCTCTAAACAACACTGCCAATGTCAGAATTGTCAACAGTAATAAAAATGAGGTACTGTTGGGGAAAATCGGTGAAATTATTATATATAATTTTCACGGATAAATCAGTAATCCACTGAAAAGCATAAATTTAAAGTAACTGTACATGTATACGTACATGTTAAACAGATACACTAATAAACAAGATATGTTCATATATTTACTACATCTATAAAAGAGGTGGCATTAAAACTCATAATGAGGAAATTTCTTGTACCTATAAAAACAATACATTTGCCGATTGATTTAATGAATACCAATTTCAATATTATATTATATATGTGTTTGGTAGCAGTATAAACAATATAATGTTTTACCACACAAAAACTTCTTTTTCATATCATGTATGGTGAGATAAAATAAATTCTAATAATATTAAATTTCTTATGTTCTGAACTTACTTCAAAAACTCCAGGTGGATCACTCCTGTAATGTAGAAAAAAAGTATTTGTACATATCATCTTTTAGCCTGCTAGCGGCAACTGAATCCGTCTGTGCTTCAAGTGCAGTTTATCATCAGCCGGTATTTCCATACCTCCTGATCATGGACTGCACTTTTCGCTATTCAGTCAGTATAAATTATATTCATATTTTTCCTGAAAATATTTATAATAGTCCCTCAATATGATGAGATGTTTTGACAAAATTAACAGATGAACAAGACAATTTAGGTTTTTTTCGCGGGATAAAGGGTAAGACATCAATCACTGTGGTTAAGAAGGACAAAAACAAAATATTATATCGTGAATGGTTAAGTGTTAGCAATTATTGAAATTAATCTATTATACGCATTATTATTATAATCAGTTTTAAAGTTCTTCAATCTTTTAAACGAGTAAAATTTATTTCATAATATAAAATATATATATACCCTTTTTATGTTACCGAACCATTTAGACTTATCAAATGGTACGGTATATTAATAATTTTTTTCACATTCAATACAAAAATCAAAGTCCTGAAGGGCCATAATGGTTTACGACAGAGCTCCAGATAGATTTTAAAGTAATGAGTTTTAAACTTCTTGATTAATACACAGCCAGATTTCAAATTCAATTAGTTTTTTCCATAAACTTCAATAATATTTTATTTGTTTGTTTGTTTGTTTGTTTCGGAGGGGGTTATATTTAATGTGTGTATTTAAAGTAAATTATCAGATGAGCAACTACATCGTCTCTAATGAAAGACACAGTTTTCTATGACTGAAGTAACTTTTCTCAAGGTAATGTTAAGTCCACTATGTTTCACGTTTATTTTCAGACTAGAACGATGACATTTGCTATTATTACCCCTCACTTTTTTCGTAATGCTAATTTCCCATAGACCTCTGGGAATTATTTTTACTGTTAATGCAAGTGTACCACGTGACTAAGAATTTTGTACTGTTACATAGGTAACAGTATTTTTTTACAGTGTAAAATCTGGTCACGTGGTCTATATTCTAAATAAAATGGCCGCCATTTTTTCTATATTCATTCTTATATTCAACGTTAAACCCCAATAGGACATCAATTTCTTCATTGGAGTAACTATGACACTCATAAAATTTAGTTGTTTGCAACCTGGTGTGCTTTTCGCGTATAAAATATCTTTTTGTTGAATAGTCAAAAAGTGATCATCCGTTTTCAACGGAGATAATTGCAATGTAAATAATTATGTGTCAAACTGGAACATGCAGACGATTTAAGAATGCAACAAAGGATTATTTTACAATTTTAATTAGTGAAACGTATATGGTGGACAGACATAGGATATCAACGTTATTTTGTCAAAAAACGTGCTAAGAATATTCTTGAAACAGAAGGATCAGATTTCACAGATCATAACCGTGTAAATGGGTTAGTGTTTTGTTTTCTAAATAAAACATAGCTTATTGTATGTTTATGATTTGTAGATATCATCACTTGCTTAAAGAATAAAAGAAAAAGAAAACTTCTCAAGTAGGCCTAAAGTACACTTAAAACTTAAAAGGTAAGGGCAGTTTAGTTATTGTTACTCATGGTTTATTTTTGTTACAGTTAGATTTAGTTGACAATTTCAGATCATCACAGTATTTTTGTTCGGGGTAATAAAATAAATAACACATGGGTTTGTGAGTAACAGTAAACATATCATTCCTCGTAAAAATACTGTAACAATCATAGCGATTTACGGCCCTTAAGTACAGGAAAGCCATTTGCAGGTAAATATACGTTAACAATACGTTGCACCTGAGACTATATTATTTTTAAGGTTAGTTTGCTGTTATTCTGTTGTAAATAATAATGCGAGTATGTCTTTTATGTAATTTCAATGAAATGTATAAAAAGTTTCTACTACAATGTTTTAATTGGCATTATTTGTAATACAGACTAAATGATCTATATTACATTATTAGCAGGTGCTCGTTTCTGTATAATCGTATTTTAAGTTGATAATAGCCGTAAGAGGGCGTTGTTGTGCAAAGCATATATAAGCAGAGGTATTCAAGGTGAGTTTGGGTTTTTGTTGGTGGAAGTCAATTGTCAACATCTAATCTTTGAGTTTTGAAGTTATACCTTCTATATATTGTCTGTGATCCGTGATCTCTAGGGGGCAACGCTACCGGAGAGGATTGCAGATTTTTATATAGTAGAAAGTAAACCGGGCTGCAGGATATTTGTTGGACAATTGTTTTGAGATAAATAAAACAGAAACCTAGGAAATACGAACATAGTATAATAGGTAGGCATCGAGACGGGTTATATGTTAGAAAGGCATCGAGACTAGGCATAGAGACTAGGAAAGATTTGGGATTATAACCAAATATATCAATATTGTGTATTGTTTATCTAATAAGTGTTTAATTCAAGTTGATTAATCTATAATCCAATTATTTTGAAATCATTGGTCTTCAGTAACTTAGGTAAGGAAACCTAGAGGAAAATTATTGATATACAAATACGAATATTTAAGCTCGGTACACGTTACAATACTGTTACCCTCGGTTACGCCTCGGGATGATATTTTTACTGTTACCCACAAAACCCATGTGTTATTTATGTATTAACACGGACTCGTTTCCATTTAGGATTTCTATTTTGAATTCTCCATTATTTTTACAAAATCTAGCATAAACAATATCCTGTCTGTTTAATTTTAGCTCGTTCCGACGTCATTTTCACATTTGTTTCTGACATCGAAATCACTCATAGCACATGACAAAACTGAGCATAAGCGTTGTTGTGGTACCTTTTAACTCTGACAAAATATACCACAGTAAATAATAATATTCATTCGCGTTTGGTTTCGAACTTATGTAAATTGAAATAAAATAAATTTATATTCAGGTTTCAATGCCGAAAATGATAATGAACATACGGCGAAAAAAAAGTAATCTAACTAAAAGATATTTATTTGCAAGCAGAAACAGTAAACTTCGAAGAGAACTATTTTGTATCGCTCATGTTTAGAAATAGTGAACACGTTGCCGTGAAGATTTATCTGACAACTAGATTGCCGTAAGCCATAAAAGGAAATGACGATCATTCTTCTTTGAAGATCCTGTTACTCAATTTTTTTTTATAGTTTTATATAATAAATATTATGCTGAAATGAAGATTTATCATTTTTGTAAGTTCCAAAAAGCATTATTTGTAATTATATTACCGAATTTACATTTCATGGTAATAAAGGGAGGTAATCAGAAATTTATTTTCTGTAAAGTCTAAGTCAAATTTTTCAATTAGAAATGAATGCATATATCTTACTGATTACATATTATGTAGACACATATTTGCAGAACTCATTTTACATATTTGTGGACGTTTGAAAATGGTTTAGATGCATAATTATATACATATATAGAACTTTACTTAAGTGTGGTAACAACCTTTATAACAACATACATGGTCTTTAAAAGAAACTATATACTTACTCGGACGAACTGCAGGTTTTTTGTTCAACCATATTTTCTGAAACGACAATTTTTTACATGGTTACGTTATATTATTTACATACCACGTACTATTTTCATATATAAAATGCATTTAAAACAGTACATTACAACAGCTCTGTGATTCAACTGGTGCTGTATGGCAAAGTAAATAAATTATCTGATAAAAATGCAAAACAAAGCTAGGGTCTAGCTCTAGGTCCAATAAATCTGTTGAAGGTGTGCTATTCAACTTTAGGTTGCGTGATCTGAGCCCAGGTCTTTGCAGACCCTGGCTTCCAGAAATTTATGTCAGCCGGGCATGAATATTTTGTTGCTTGCAGGGCTTAAAACACTGTAACTGTTGGTGAGGACCGCCGCAATTTAAACATGCATGCAAATAAACGCAACCATACTTGTTACACACCCCTTTAAAATTAGGGTCAAAACATTTCCGAATTTACCTAGTGTCCTGATTAGACAGACTTGTTGGTGATGCCATATATAGAAGCCAAAGCCTTACATGAGACCATCTTACAGCTGGGTCATTGCCATCCGTAGGCTGAATTGTTCATCGTAGTTTCTTCAATCATAAACCCATGTTTTTTTACCAAGCCTTATTGTTTTAATATATTAACAAAATTATTGGACCCTTTCTGGTTGAGCAGCCAAACATATTGCCCCAAAAACCAAAATAGCATCAGTACATTCTCCAATAGTGGCTATATGTTTGGAAAAATTTTGTGGCTTTACAAAAAGACCGTCCGTAAGATCAGCTACCACAACACATGCAGGAACATCTGTGATAGTGGAGTCATTTTGTAAGATGCTAGCTAGATCAATGTATTGACCTGCGACTATTTTAACCTTCTCAGATGCAGACACTGTAACCCCAAGGTCTTAGCTTGCACTATTGCGTGGAGATGATACTGAATAATTTGCCAAGGAATTATATTTACCTTTCTCCAGACCAGTGACAATTGGTAAGTTTTCCACGGCTGGCATTTCAGGTTGTTCTACCTCATCAAATACAGCTTCTACGGGCATTGCTGCATCCAACCCACGAGTCACTGTGCTAGTTGGAGTTGCAATGGAAGACATAGTCTCGATACGCGGCACTTTCGTTTTATCCGCATCCTCTGGATACTCTGGATACTTCCTTTTATTTCCTCTTCTTGCATGCATACTTAAAAACAATGGTAATCAGTGATGAATCTCTGACAAAAATCAATGATCCGAAAAATGTTGATGAGATGCACATCAAGACATGGTATTGATCATTCCCCTAATGTTTTGATGAAATTGCACCAGTAGTTCCTGAGAAGTAGTCCAGACAAACTTCTGTGTAGCAAGCAAAACAAAAAGCACCTGTTTTAACCAAGGGCAATAACTCAGCCAAATATTATTCAAGCTAAAATGAGTGTATTATGCACAAGTACTTCAAATACCATTCAATCCTGTGAAGTTTCATTGAAATTGCATAAATGGTATATGAGGAATAGTCCGGACAAACTTTATTAACACCATTTTCATTCAAGTGCAAAAACTTGGCCAAAAATCATCAAAGAAGAACAACTGTCTTATATTTGCAAGTTCTTGACCTACCAATCGATCCTGTAACACCCGAGTTACACAGAGCTATCGGTGATTGATCGGTAGTTAGTTTTAGCCAAGTTATGGAGTGAACCGATGACAACGTATTTAACACCGATATCACCTATTGGTGACCTGTTTTCCACCTAGCAACTGCTATTGGGGAAAAATAAGATTTATCGGTGAAAAATTACCGTTTGGGATTTTTCTCGATCGGTGAAAATATTTTACAAATAACCGACAGCAACCTATATTACGAAATATGCAAGCTCATAATCACCGATATCGGCGATCGGACAAAGATAACCAAATATGAATCACCGCCCATATCTGACAGAAATTGTTAAACCACGCCCGATTTAGCTCCGATTTAATCATTAAAATCATTCGGCCAAAAATCATTCAACCGGAAAAACGTGCAATATGCTTAAGCTACAGATCAATCCATGAAAGTTCCATTGAAACTTCATTAGTGATATAAGAGGAGTAGTCCGAACAAACATTAAAAATTTAAAAAAGGGCCATAACTCGAACAGTAATCATTTAACCAAGAAAAATGCTAACAATATGCACAACTAAACTTGGTACTGATCATTCTTGTAAAGTTTGGATGAAATTGTACCAGTAGTTTATTAGGAGTATTCTGGACAAATTTTGTGACGGAAGGACAGACAGACGGACAGACGGACGACAGGAAAGTTACTTTATATGTCGCCACTACTCCGTAGAGGTGACGCAAAAATCTTAAGACACAATTCACTTACAAATAGTTAATGTTTCTACTGATAGTACTTCAAAATTTATTTATTTATCTTATTTTATATAGATATCATAACAAATATGAACTCCTAATTCTATGGCAAGATTAGATAAATTAATGCTGCAAACTTGTAGCTATCTTCAGTTTGCTTCAGAGAGAATTCTCTGAATTTAGCGGAAATTTATGAGTTCAAGTCCCGCGAAACTTACCCATTCGTACATTTATTATCAACCAAACAAATTTTGTGTACTTATAGCTCATAAGCAATTGTAGACATCAACAGTATTAAACTTCAATCAAATAACTTCATGATAATTTACTATTTTCTATATCATGAAAATTATGATAAATAATATATTCAAATGATTAATTCCGTCAATAAGAATATTCAGCAAAATTTAATAAGAAAGCAAAATTTGCATGGAGCAATTATAAAATTCAATTGAATTCAAGCCATCCAGTCCACTGTAAGACCCGAAACAAATAATCTATTCTACCCGTCACAAGATTCATTTTGTTTTAGATACAAGAACCTATTTAAATATGAAATTTAAGGATATACGGGCTCGCAACTGCGAGTCTATATTTCGTAAGGATTAAACTAAGGAAACAATAGAAAACAACTTTAAAATCCAAATTCATGAAAGTTTGCTTCCAGCTGTTTATATTATTCACTCGTCTGAGCTGGAATCCAAAATAAATTTGGACAATCAAATTTAATCTTACATAGCGAGTTAAAAAGTACCAATTTTAAAGCCATTTTTAAAAGCAGCGAGTATTGGTTTAAACGCAAAGATATGATGAAATGACCGGGAAAAATATAAAAAGGCAAAAATGCGCACAAGCAGATGGACACTTATGTTAATTAACAAAATGAAAACGTGCTATAGGGAAGATAGGTAAAGTAAAGTTAATCAAACGTCAGGGTAAATATAATTGATTTAAAAGAAATCATTAATGTTCCATGCCCAAAGGTAATGGGGTCATGACATAAGAATTTTTTTCCAGACTAGATACGAAGACATCTGCTATTAACACGAACTCATTTCCACGCATGATTACCTATTTTGATTTCTGCATTCTATTTACAAATTTAGCATAAACAATATGCTGTCTGTTTACTTGTTTTGCTCGTTCCTACGTCATTTCCACATTTATTTCTGAAAGGGAGATCAGTCTTAGCACATGACAAAACTGCGCATAAACGATGTTGTGGTACATGTACGTTAACACTCAGACAAAATATACCACAGTAAATAGTAATATTCATTGGCGTTTGGTTTTGAGTTGATTCAAATTGAAATAAAATAATGAACGGGACACAAAATTTACCAAATAACAGACTCTGTTAACCTTTGACCTCTAAGTGTGACCTTGACCTTGGAGATAGGGATGCAGGTGTTGCGCATGACACATCCTCTTATTATAGTGACTATTTGTGCGAAGTATTTTCAAAATCCTTTGATCTATGAAAAAGTTATGGACCGGACACAGAATATACCCGGTAAGAGACTATGTATTGACTAAGTATTTGACCTCAAAGTGCGATCTTGACCTTTGAGGTAGGTGACAGGTTTTTGCGCATGATACATCTTCTGATTATTGTGAACAATTATGGCAAGTATTTACAAAATTCCTTCATAGATAAAAAAAAGTTATGGACCGGACACGACATATACCCTCAAATAGACAATGTTGACCTTGAATGAGCAAGTACAACCTTGACCCTGAAGGTACGGGCCTGGTTGTTGCGCATGACACATCGTCTTATTATAACAAACATTTGTGCCAAGTTAATTCTAATTCCTTTGATAAATGATTAAGTTATGGACCGAACACGAAATATACCCTGTTACAGACTATGTTAATATTTGATCTCCAAGTATGACATTGACCTTGAAGGTAGGCGACAGGTTTTTGCTCATGACACATGGTCTGAATATTGTGAACAATTTTGGCAAGTATTTACAAAATCCCTTCATAGATAAGAAAGTTATGGACCGGACACAACATATACCCTCAAATAGACAATATTGACCTTGAATGAAAAAGTACGACCTTGACCCTGAAGGTACGGGTCTTGTTGTTGCGCATGACATATCGTCTTATTATAACAAACATTTGTGCCAAGTTATTTCAAATTCTTTTGATAAATGACAAAGTTATGGACCGGTCAAGCACTATACCCTGTAACAGACTATGTTAATATTTGACCTCCAAGTGTGACCTTGACCTTGAAGGTAGGTGACTGGTTTTTGCGCATGACACATCGTCTGATTATTGTTAACAAATATGGCAAGTATTTACGAAATCCCTTCATAGATAAGAAAGCTATGGACCCGACACGACATATACCCTAAAAAAGGCAATGTTGACCTTGAATGAGCAAGTGCAACCTTGACCCTGGAGGTAGGGGTCTGGTTGTTGCGCATGACACATCGTCTTATTATAATAAACATTTGTGTCAAGTTATTTCAAATTCCTTTCATAAATGACAAAGTTATGGACCGGACACGAAAGTGTGACGGACGGACGGACAGACGGCCGGACACACAGACGGACGGACGGAGTCTATTTCTATATCCCCCTTTTTTCTTCCAAAAGGCGGGGGACAATAAATTAATATTCAGGTTACAATGCTAAAAATGATAATGTACATACGAAAAAAAATACTGAATATAATGTAACTAAAAGATATTTATTTAAAAGCACAAACAGAAAACTTTACACCATTTTAAGAGAACTATTTTGTAAAGCTCATGTACACTTTGTCATAATTATTTATCTGTCAACTAGATTGCCGTAAGCCAGTAAGGGAAATGACGATCAGTCTTCTTTAAAAGAAACATTTATACTTACTCGGTCGAACTGGAGGTTTCTTGTTCAACCACATTATCTGAAACGACGATTTTTTTACAAACGTTACAATATCTATATACCACGTAATACTTTCATGTACAAAAAAAAAACACATCACAACAGCTGTATCATTCATTTGGTGCTGTTTGGCAAAAAAAGAATAAATTATCTGATTACACATGCCTTTAAAATTAAAGTCAAACTATTTCCGAATAAGCCTAGTGTCCTGAGTAGACAGATTTGTTAGTGATGCCATATATAGAAGACAAAGTACGGAATTTACAATAGACCATCTACCAGCTGGGTGCCTGGTCATCCGTAGTCTGAATAATTCATCGTAGGATCAGTAACCACAGCATATGCAGAAACATCTGTGTCTGTTGAGTCACTTTGTAAGAGGCTAGCTAGCTCAACATATTGACCTACGATTATTTTAACTTTATAGATGCAGTGTAACACCGCAAAACGTCCGTACCGCAAAACGTACGTATATGGACGTTTTGCGCCGCATATCGTCCACAATTTTCTGACGTAAATTTTGCGGCAAAAAGGCATGGTCCTGCCGCATAACGTCTATATTTTAAGGTTAATACATGTATAACTTTCGTTAATTTTGACCTGTCCAGTTATAATCGAGTGTTATTGTGTGTTAACTTTAGCTCACCTGAGTATGTGCCTGTCTGTCCGTCCAAATTAAGCTTGTTACCACCTTAGCATCTACATACCCTAAGCAATTTGTCAAGAGTTATCTGCCCTTGAATTACAATATCTGTTGTATTTCACATTGTTACCACTCCAACGCTTTCATTTCTTATTCAATCTTGACAATTTTCAACAGAATATCTATGATCATAAAATCTCAACAAAGTTAGATTATAGGCTAAATCTAACAAAAAAAAAAAAAAAAACAATAACAAAAACCGCATTATATTTCACCTTGTTAGTGCTTTCGTTCCTTCTCCATTCTTAATTTTTTTAGACAGAATATGTATAACAATAAAGTCTCGATCAAGTTCATTTATGAGCTAAAACGACTGAATATGTCAAGTTTTATTTGCTTTTGAATAATAAAAATAAAAACATATTTTAAAGTCAAATTATTGAATTGGGATAAAACTGCCATTTCTTTGTTATCAATGATCAGATGTCATTCAAACATTTATGACAGGACAGACATCTTGAATAGTTCAACTAAAAAAATGACCTTGAAATGACCCTGATCTCAAGGTCACTATTGAATTTTGCGTAAATTACCATTATATCTTTGTCATTTACAGATATTTGGATATTGATGACCATTTCAGACGTAGAATTGAATACTGATATCAGTTATCCAGATTCTGGCCAAGTACATGAAATGTACTTGCTTTTTATTTGTAATATTCAATGCTATCTACCCTTGTCATGTGGCGCCTTTATAGGCAGGTGGGTGATATAAGGCCATCATGACCTTTTTGATTTGTCCAATTATTCCCTGCGGTCTGGAGACCGCAGGTATTGGTACGCGTTTTACTTTTGAGGCATGGAGGAGCACGTGACCTGTTTTCGGTACATGGAGGAGCATGTGATCTGTAAACCGTATATGATTGGTTAATTGACCTTTTCGAAAACCCAGCTAAATACCGTTTGCCGTTACGTTACGGATTTACCTGTAGGGAATAAGTCCGAATTACACTTGAGAACAAAACTCTATTACGTGATGTTTCTAATTTTTATAGTTATTTCACCGTACTTGAATGATGTGTTTGAAAATTATCAATGTTTCTTTAATATCTATCTCAAATTTTACAAACAATAAATTGTTTATACTGAAAATGTGCAAAATGAAAATATTCGTAGTGGCATCTGCCATAATAAAAAAGAGATATTTTTCTGCGTAAACTTGTTTGTTTACTTTATTATTTATTATTTTTTTTTTGCTCGGAATTATTCATAAAATGGTAGGCCTATTTAATCATTTTCTTAAAAAGAAATAATTGTTTTATGTTCGACCTTCTCCGGTCTTCAACGGTCACATGCAGTTTCCAAAGACCTTCTTCTATATTGTTCGATTATTGTCAACTATATTCCTGTTACAAACGTTTATTTATTCCCCCTCCAAAATAATGTTGAAAATAGTTAAATGAAATATCTTTATATCATTAAAATGTTCACCGCAGGAAACCATTTTACTTGTAAAATTACATTGTTTAATTATAAAATTACATTATGGCATTCAAACAAAACGCTTTTTTACGATATTTTAAGGTATGCTTTAGTTTTTATTAATGGAACACAATAAACTTCTTTTTCATCATTTCCTATGCGGAATTATGTTTGTTATAATATAACCTATTACACATTATCTATGTAACTTATAGACGAAATGTTTTGTTCTTCAGGCGACAAAATAATACGGTTTTAGTAAAGGCACGGACTTTCCGGCTAACCTATAGATTAAATCATTTTTCAAAGTTATATTTTATGACAATTTCAAACTTGCATTTACTAGATTTGTAGTTCAAAATATTTGAGCAGCGTCAAGCAGAAATGCGCACTATCGTCATGTTTACCACCACAGGCACGAGTATCGGACCTGGGAAGAAAAAAAATATGACCAGATTGATAAAAAAAACCTGTGTTCATCTTAAAAGTGTCAAAAAAACCCAAAAAATGAAAATAATGACCCCCTCCAAAAATATACTATAAGTTAAGAGAAGGCCGGAAACTCCAGATTCGAGCCTACGAGCAAGGGATTCATTTCCCGGGCCGTTGTGAAAACAATTGGCCAGACAATTAAAAGAAACTTTTATCACTATTTCACGTTTATATTAAGCTTCAAAATGAGACCGACCCCAAGTCTCTAGCCCTTCCCGTTCATGAAATATCTATCAGGAAACGAGCGAATTCGTGCTAAAAATCTTTGGTAGACAGAATTGCGGCACAACAATTCGGTACGTAAACATAGACTAATACATGAATGTCAGCTGAGGACGGGTCAAAATCACTTGAATTTACTAAATAATATTACTAAATACATTAAGTTGGACCACTCACAACCGTCAGTAGCATCTGATACACGCACAATTTGAATCTTAAACCTTTCCACGGTCTTTAGATTCCTTTCTACGCCATTGTCAATCAGCTGTTCGATATTTTGTAACGAGTCTTCTGATTGGCCAATAGCAACGAAAACCGCAACGTTTCACACAAGGATGCCTAATGGCGTAGACAGCGATTGAAAGACCGTGTAAATGTTTGAAAGTCGAATCTCGTGTGTATCAGATGCTACTGACGGTTGTGAGTGGTCCAACTTAATTTATTTTAAATTAGTAATATTATTTAGTAAATGCAAGTGAGTTTGACCCGTACTCAGCTGACAAACATGTATTAGTCTATGTTTACGTACCGAATCTTTGTGCCGCAATTCTATCTACCAAAGATTTTTAGCACGAATTCGCTCGTTTCCTGATAGATATTTCATGAACGGGAAGGGCTAGAGACTTGGGGTCGGTCTCATTTTGAAGCTGAATACAAACGTGAAATAGTGATAAAAGTTTCTTTTAATTGTCTGGCCAATTGTTTTCACAACGGCCCGGGAATTGAATCCCTTGCTCGTAGGCTCGAATCTTGAGTTTCCGGCCTTCTCTTAACTTATAGTATATTTTTGGAGGGGGTCATTATTTTCATTTTTTGTTTTTTTTGACACTTTTAAGATGAACACAGGTTTTTTTTTATCAATCTGGTCATATTTTTTTCTTCCCAGGTCCGATACTCGTGCCTGTGTTTACCACATATTGATGATGTTCAAAAATTGCAATCTCATCTTTGAGAAAATATATTAAAATTAGTTACTGACCCGATACGGGGATACACGGTTCTTTAGGAAACCATAACGGGACTCAACCCACAGAACCGTATATTACGGTAACTAACCCTTAAACGATTCTATCACGCCGAAAACCTTACTCATCGTTTATTAAGCATAACCAAGGAGACCATACCACGTCCCCCGCGACAAAAGCTCTCTTGCTCAATTATGACTAGGCGACTTAAAAGCCCCATCTCCATGACAATGCAGCTCTCTCCCTCAAATATGACTACGCTGTCAACCCCCCCCCCCCCCCCCATCCCCCGTAAAATGAACGGTAGAACCAAACCGCCATAGTCAACAAGAACAGAAAAAATCATTCCCACTTCTTGATGCAATTATATGAAAAGCTATTGTCAAAAGCAAAGCTTAATTTTAATAGTTTTTGTCATTCACTCAGTCCAATCCCCAGTTCGTCCGTCCGAATAGCCGTCCTTTTCTGTATGTCTATGTAAGATTACATTTATTTCAATATAATCGTTTTTATATCTCTGCTGCTGTTTGGTTCCATACCATAAAAAAAACTATTCGAAAAACATCCTAGACTTAGGCACACTTCTTTTTTTTTAAATAAAAAAAGTCAGAATTTCATAGGATCACAAAAATATTGAACTTTAATAATTATTTCGTCATATCTTTACCTGAAACATATGAAACTGACAGAACCAATATAAGTAACGTTTATAATGAATATATTTTAATACAGAAAATATGGACGATATGCGACGCATAGACACACTCTCGCCGCAAAAAGTACCAAGTTCGATATGCACCGCAAAAACGTCCACATATGTACGATATGCAACGCAAAATGTCCATACGCGTACGTTTTGCAGTACGGACGTTTGCGGTGTTACAATTCAGACACTGTAACCCCAAGATCTGAGTGTGCGCTACTAATTTGAGGTGGTACTGAAAAATTCGCTAAAGAGTCACAGTTACCTTGCTCCAGACCAACAACATTTGGTAAGTTTTCCAAGACTGGCATATCAGGTTGTACTTCAACATTTACGGGCACCGCATAACCTGGACCCTTCCTTGTATTATCCCTTCTTGAATGCATACTAAAATAAAAAAAAATCTCTAAGATTTATCTCTAAGTATTAAACTTTAATCAAATAACGTCATGATAATTTTACCATTTTATATCATGAAGATTAAAATTGAGCATGGGGCAATTATAAAATCCAGTTGAATTCAAGCTATCTAGTCGAAATCTGCCCATCCACAGCAAGACCCGAAACAAATAGTCTATCCTACCCGTAACAAAATATGATAAACAAGATCATCAAGGAAAGGCGGCGTTCAATGGACGCAGCCCCCAAGTGACCCTGTAACAAGAGCCACCGCCGGGCGGGGGCAACGCTCGACTTTTTACTAACAAAGAAATGTTTGAACAAAATCTTAACGTTTCCTTTTTATAAAATTAATCGGTTTGTCTTGTCACATTAGTTTTGTCTTAATATTTTAAATAGAAACACGCAATTCTATAAATAGAAAATTCTATAAATAGATACACGTGGTGGAGGCTAGTGTTGACACGTGGTGGTGTCACGTGGTTGACACATGGTGTCACGTGGTGGAGTCACGTGGTGGAATCACGTGGTGGAGTCACGTGGTGGAGTCATGTGGTGTCACGTGGTGTCACATGGTGGTAGAGTCACGTGTTGTTGTTGTTGATGATGATGATAAGTTGATCCCTTCAATAATAGCAAAGTTACAGCCAGTTACAGCCAAAACAATGAAAATTTCAATAATTTGAACTTAAAAGTCATGGTCATTAATGAGTGAAAGTCAAGGTCTTTCTAGTTATTTTTAAGGGTTATCCTTGAACATTATTATGTTCAAGTTTGAAGACAATCCATTCAAAAATAACAAAGTTACAGCTAATAATAGACAAAAAAATGAAAATTTCATGATTTGATCTTCAAAGTCAAGGTCATTTATAAGTGAAGGTCAAGGTCTGTCTGGTTATTTTTAAGGGATATCCTTGAAGATTATTATGTTCAAGTTTGAAGACAATCCATTCAAAAATAACAAAGTAACAGCCAATAACAGCATGAACAAGCAAAATTTGGACTTTTAACCTTGAAGGTCAAGGTCATTTATGGATGAAGGTCAAGGTTAGTGTAGTCTACTGAAAGGTCTTGTCCCAAGGGTTGTTGTAGTCAAGTATGAAGACAATACACCAAGAAATAAAAAAGTTATGATCCAGGTACAAGTTTGCGGACGGGAACGGCAACGGCAACGCCGCCGCGACTATAGCAATACCTTTACTTTTTTTTCAAAAAAGAAAGAGTAGAGCTAACAAGAGCCAGTGGCAAAGAGCCCAGGTGGACCCCAAACAAAAACAGGAAAACAAGCCTCATTTTTTAGATAAGAACTTATCTATATTGCCAGCTCGCAACGGCGAGTCTGTATTACCTAAGGGTTTTACTTAGAAAACAATAGAGAACAACCTTAAATTCCAAATACATCCAAATTTTAACAGAAGCTTGGCTTTCAGCTGTAAAACTGATTCACCTGTCGGAGCTGGACTCCAAAATTTATTTGGCCAAGGGGGTTATTGATTTATTTAGTTTTGTACAGTACTTGTGTGTATTGTCACTCATTCCACTACTAATTTACCTATAACAGTTAATCTTCATATAGGGAAACTCCTTGATGGGTTCTACCTATCGGTCAAAATGTCACTGGGACCTGATATATCAAAAGATTGAACGAGTGCATATACACAGGGACTTCATTCTTTCTATGTGGATGCATCTTGATATATCTTGTCCTCGGGTGACCTCTTTGAGGCCTATAGCCTCCTGGTTATGAATGGAATACTCTTTGTTAATTACACTTTATCAAGGTTGTTGTTGAATTGAGACAGCTGTTAATTCGACATATAAACACAGCACAGGGAATAGAAATGACAATGCGAGTGGCTACTAGCTAATCTTGTTTTTGTATTGTAGTGAATAGGTGGTATCAGGAAATGAAAAGACTCTAGAGTGATTAATATAGAAGACGATACTTGTATCACTCACAAGGTATGTTTAATTATTTCTTGTATTTAATGTGTACGTGCGTTATAAACAAATTTGTACATGTATGTAAAAAGAAGATAATGATGGGATGTATATTTACTAAGCGAAAGATGACATGCATTTACAAGTAATATTTATTACGTTCGTATAAAATAACAAGAGTAACTTATCATTTTAAAACAAGTACATGTAGATTCTTTTTTGAAATTTATTTGTTTAATATTAATTATAAGTACAATGATATTGTTTGTAATATATTTAAAATCCCTTATTTTCTTTTCAGGGCCATGCTTTCTTTAATATTTATTCACTTAACTGAATAAATATATCTGACAAATTATTTAGCAAAATATTGTTTTTACTTTTGAAAACAATTTTCCAATTACTACGCAGCGACCAAAGAACACCGTAGTCCCACTATCATGAATGTTCTTTTGATGTTATAAACCATTAATAGTTCTTAAAATTTAATTTAAAAAACAACAACAAATAATGATAAACTGTCGATGGATCATGCCTACGTGATAACTAATGAAAACTAAGTTATTAGTACATCCTTGGAGGCTGTACGCGGAAAACGCACACATAACCGCTGTATCATATTGCTGTTAGTAAATATATTGCATACATTTAAGTAAGAATCCACTGATGGTAATGAACATATAGTTTAAAAACATTATAAAGTTGAACCATTTTCGCCGGAAAGAAAACGCTATTTAACTACAAAACCCGTAAGGACACTCCTACAAAATTACAGCACAAGAATACAATTTACATAAGCGAAATAAAAAACAATACTTATATTTTCATCTCACATCATTCATCAATCAAACTTTTAACATATAAGTATCTTTAAAAGATATGTCTGGCAATTGATAGATCCCTACTCTGACCTTTTAGTATGGGTAAGTTTTTGTATTAAGACGACCGTAGGGAGTCTTACCAAACTCTCACCCATATAACTGCAAATTGGCTATCATATAAAAAATAGAGAAAGTGTCACCTCTTCAATTAAGCATCACATTGGTTTTCCCAGGAGTCGCGTACAAACACTTCCTTTTAAGTCTACATGTGGACGGGGTCCAATTACTTAATCTGGAATGTAAAAAAATGAATTTACTAGCCAAAATACCAAAGGCAATATCTAGGATTGTTAAGCCAATTCACTCCTGTCATATGAAACAAAATAATGTTTTGCTTCCTTTTTTTTCTAGAAAATATAAACAGTCAGCAATTTATAATTGACATTTTTCTTAGAGTTAAAAGGATATCAAATAGTAACTGTCTAATCATTTGTCTCTGCGAGCTCCACATATATTATATGTGTAATAAATTTGAATGTACAGTGTAATCAGCCTTTTTAGAAACACCTGACCAGGTTAATTAAAATTTGCCAATCACAATTATCACTATCAGCACTGGTCTCTTCATGAAAAAAGTGGCTGCACTAATCACTGCCGAGTAAGAGCCAATTTGCATTTTTTTTTAAATAAGAATATATTTCGGGAATTCATCATTATATTGTACGAAACTTTAATTTGAAAACAATATTTGCCGCTGAAATGATTAATGTTCACAATAATTTGAAACAAGAGCACCGCTAGGCGGAGCATTATATGCCCGAAAGTGTTTTTTTTAGTAAGGATGAAGCATTTGTAAGACATCACATCATTAAATAAAGTATTACCTCCTTCAAAGATCAATCCTATAAAAATTGAATATTGTGGGCCAAATTGAACTTAAGTTATGCTCTGGAAACTGTTTTCAGTTTTGAGGTAACAACGACTTTGAACTTTGACCTTTTGACCCCAAAATCAATAGGGGTCTTCTACCCAATATAGACAATCATCCTATGAAGTTTGAACACTATGGGCCAAATAGAAATTAAGTTATGTTCCGGAAACTGTTTTTCAGTTTTAAAGTAATAATGACCTTGGCCTTTGACCTTGTGACCCCAAAAACAACAGGGGTATTCAACCAAATATGGACAATCATCCTATGAAGTTTGAATATTGTGGGCCAAAGAGACCTTTAGTTATGCTCCGGAAACTATTCTCATTTTTAAAGTAATAGTGACCTTGACCTTTGACCTTGTGACCCCAAAATCGATAGTGGTCTTCTACCCAATATGGGCAATCATCCTATGAAGTTTGAATATTGTAGGCTACATTGAACTTAAGTTATGCTCCGGAAACCAAATTGCTAACGGACGGACGGCCAGACGGACATTCTAACAGGAGAGTGTTAATGTGGCTACTCTATTGTTCTCTCTATTGTTCTTTTTAGCCACACAAAAGAAAATAGCCACATAAAAGCATTACGGAATGAATGACATCAAAGAGAAAGAACAGTTACCTATTGTCCCTCTAGCCACATTATAACTGTCCTGTGAGTGCGGACAGACAGACGGACGGACGGACGCCAGGGGTTTAACATAATATGCCCGAAATTCTTTCGGTAATATAAAAATTAAAATCAGAAACTTATAAATTTGTGTTCTAAAAATAAAAGGCGGCATAAGAGTAATTTCGTATGAATTCATTTTACAATATTTGAAAAAAAATACCACAACAAAAATACGTTGTTTTCCCCAACAAAAACTTCAAAACACGCTTTTTATAATACCATTCCTAGATGCTCTCTAGATTCCTACTTTTCCCTAGATCATTTTTTATTTTGCGGGAAATTTGGTTTAAAAACTTTACATGATCGTCATGAAAAACCCTTTACGAAATAACCTAAAAACCCTTTTAAACAACAGTTTTCCCACAGTACTTTATTTCAGGGCTAGTGAGTTTAAAAATAGAATTGTGGGTTTAAACTCAAAAAGACATTTGGGGAGTATAGACCCGCCCTTCTCCCCACTGAATATAACAATCGAAAAACTATTTCCCCTTTTCCGTCAGTTTTTGGGGATAAGCCCTTTCGAACACAATAGTTTTAAATACACAAAAACGGATGCGGTATTTCGGTCTAACCTAGGGCTAAGAAACAAAAACATGAAAAAACAAAAAGAAATTTTAAAAATG